TTACTATAATGAGATGTCAGCTTTGTGTACTCTTCAGAGTACATTTTAGTGGCAGCTTTAACACTTTAAAGTAACCATATGTCATTCCACAGGGCACGTCTTGTGAACTATATCAAGACTTCAGAAGTAATTCGCCAGCCATATCCTCTGCAAATCCGGGCTAGTGGCCCACACACCTACTTCATGAAGAGAGAAACCTGGGGCTGGACAGACTTCCTCATGAACCCAATGGTAAAGAAAATCGATGATGTTGCACCCAACTTGCAGAATATTGGATGATATATACCCTCAGGGGTGTAGAAAAATGTCCAACAGGTCAAATTGAGGTCAATTTAAATGTATTGTCTTTGTTGCTCCTCCAGGTTATGATGATGGTTCTGCCCCTGCTGATCATTGTTCTACTACCCAAGGTGGTCAACACCAATGACCCAGAGATGAGAAAGGTAAAGAATCCTTAATAGTTGCATGTTCAGTGTTATTTCAGAAATATTGTACGTGCTTTGCGTTCATCATGCAGCGTGTCTCTGAATTGTATTGCCGACATTCTGATCAGTTCAATAAGGATTTATTAATTGGTGCTAGACTACATATTTCTTGAAAGAACCGAGTTTGCAGTGTCAGTAGTAATACTAGTAATAAATTCATGATACCCTGTCCTTGCCTTATTTTGAAGTGTGAGCATATCATAACTGTGAGAAATGTCAGTGAAATCATTTTTGTGAAGGATTATTAAAACCATTTCCAGAGTCTGTCCCCAGCCTTCATGGTCTCCATCTACATCTGTTTTCATTTTATTGTTTGTTTGTTTTTTACAGGAAATGGAGCAGTCCATGAACATGCTGAACCCCAACCCTGAGCTTCCAGACGTCTCTGAGCTCATGACCAAGCTCTTCTCTGGCTCCAAGGGCTCCAGCAAGGCAGGTGGCAGCAGCAAGGGCACCAGACCAGCTGTCAAGAGGAGGTAGTACTATACATGCCTCCTCAGTCTGCCTAAAGAAGCTTGAGTTGCGCCATGGAAGCAAGATTTTTAAGTGTCATTTTTTTTCCCCTCTGGGTCTATTGTACAGTTTTCTTTATTATTAGATGTTTTGGACACATCTTGATTTCTAATATGCTGTTGGAAACTGAGAAAAACTAAGTTTTTTTTTCATACTGCACTGATAGAAATTTCTTAAACCCTGAAAAAGCTGTTATCCTTCATTTGCTCTATACTTTTTACATGTGGCTCTACTACTCATCATACTTTCTGTGCTAACCCTCCAGTGTGCATTTTCCACTGCTGCTAATTCCACTACCTGAAAGAGAACATATATACAGAGATTTTCTTGTTTTTTTTCCGATTTCAGTGATACGACTGTGAATGAAGATTTAATTGAATTTTAAGACTGATAAATTCTTATTTAAAAGCCTAGATAAATAAATTACAATCCTATATAACAACTGTGTTTTTATTTTAGACCACCATATTTGTCTGAACACATCATCTTCTAATTTTTCGAATTATTGTGTGAAGTACTGCCGAAATTAAGATACTGTACATAACTTGCCTAAGATGTATACATTAAAATGGTAATCACTGGCAGTTCAAAGGATCAAAGAGCTGTGTGGTTGCTTTCAAGTGCTCTAGAGTGTAAATGGCTTTACTTTTAATAAAGCGGACAATAAAGTCCATATTAAAGTCATAATGAAATGTGTGTTTGGGATACATGTCCTCAGTTCATGGTAGGTCACTCATAGTTGCTGATAGTGTGGACATAATCATGAATGTTACTCTTCAAAAATAGCGTCCTCTTCCACAGCTTTACAGCTTCATCTTCAAAAGATAGTGATTGGACATCATGTTGTGTTTTTTTGTGTGAAACAAACACCTATTTCAAAGCTGAAGAATTATATTTTTTTATGTGAATAAGGGATTGATTCCCAAATCTGAGTGGTTACAAGATGATTTAAGTGATACGGAGGGCAGACAATGTTTAAATTCCTTTAAGCCTTATAAAAATCCTTTAAATCAAATAATCTGAGAAATCACTGAATTGAAGTCCTTGTTCAGGCGGATATTGGCCCTGTCAATCTGAACACAGTCTAAAATTAGACTGTAGAGCACCAACATCCCAAAAACTTACAGGTACTGGTTTAAAAAACAAACTTTGCAGGAGTCAGACATAAGATCTGTACACTATAGCTCATTTCCTTTTCATTTAACGGATCTTCATTGGGCACACTACTGTGAGAAGGTTGGGAACCACTGCTCGAAGCACAAAGGCTGGCAATTTAAAACTTTATTTTTTTAAATTAACTCAATTTATTAATTTTCTTATGGTGAATCATATGACAAGAACAAAACCGACACTGTCAGGCTGTGTCTCAATATTTCCAACTTCACCAGCCTATCTGTGGCTCTCTGTCCCAAGCCCATTAAATACATGATGACGAGGTACATCTTAAAAACACATAATGAATATATACTTTAAAAAATTTTAGGAAATGCTACTTAATCAGGAGAAAATTGTGTATTTATTTTCAGCTGCAATTTTGGTGTGCTGATAAATATTTACATTATCCGGAAGGTGTATGTGGGATGTGGCCATGTTCATGTTCATACTGCAACAGTTGAGTTCTTTTGACAATAATGGAGGTTTATGACACAAGAATACGCTATATCAAGCTTTCGCTACAGAGGCGATACTTGGTAGCAGGATCAGTTCATTGTTGGTTTTGGTCTTTTCATATGAATATCACCAGATCCTTTCATAATACAGTTGCATGTATTCTGTTTGCTGTAATGCAGAATGTCTGCACTAACATGGAGTCTCTGGACCAGTGAGACCCCTGATTACCTCTAGGATGTTCTATACTAGCAACAGTCATGCTGTTTGCACATGTTAATCATGGCACGTTAGTTTTATTACTCAACTGTTGGAGCGGGTAATGATTTGCAAAAAAAGAATTTACAAACGAAATCAGATCAGATTCAACGCATTTGATGTTGAAAATGTTCATGCTGACAAAAAGTATAATCCTGTACTGTACTCATATCAGCACACACAGACTCACTTTCACAGAACTGCACAGACTGACAAAGAGCACAGATTCATTCACAAAGCACTTTTCCCTCTGAGCAGCACAAAAGGCACAGAGTGTAGGGAGGTAACACACAACATTACATCATTAAAAGACATAGAAGGGCAATAATTTACAACAGCATCACTCATCCACCAGAGGCAAGTTGCTTCAATACAAGTTTTTTTTCTTTTTTTTTTCTTTTTACATTAATATGAATATTGACAGGAATAGTGGTGTGATCCATAAACATTCTCATATACAGTGTCTTGTTACAACTGTGAAACTAATGCAGCTGTAAATGTACAGATTAGCCCTTGAACACAAGAGCTAAGATAGAAAACAATAGAAAACATTCACTAAACACTGATATACACTAAGCAATGTACATTTACCATTTGTGAGGTGTAAAATTGGTGAAATATGTTCTTTATACTATAAATCACTTTTCAATGTGTAAGCCTACAATATTTCTTTTATATACAGTGCAAGTGGGCAATAGAACAAAGGAGGATTATATGAGGTTTAAAGGATAGGTTCAGTTGTTTACTCACATGCTACAATATTCACTTTAAACATATGTTGTTACTAATCCCTGCAATCATTCCTCCTGTCCACATCGGCCCTGAAGTGATTCCTTCATAGCATGACTTCAATGTAAGGAATTGGGGACAAAATCCACAGTCGTTCTTACTGTCAAAAAGCAAAAACTAATACAAGGCTTCAGGAATTTGTCTAAGTGCACATCGAGCTGGTATCTTACAAATTTGCTGTGTTTTATTATGGAATTGGGTTAGTATCACTCCACTGCTCAATGAGAAGATATCCCGAAATTTATAACACAGGTCGAAAGGTATTAGATAATTAAACTAAATATTTAACATAGAGCTTATCTAACAGCATGTAGTTTAAAGAAAACCAGTTTGTGCTGTCATGGCTGTGGTGAGGTCAGCACATGTCACAGCTTTGCCATCATGTGAAAATATTCCTTAAGAGTTGATTACCTGTCATCAGTGATAAATATACAGATTCCCTACAGTCCAGCCAGGTTTACTCAGAAAACAACATGTAGAGCAAAAGCAAACCCAGTGCCTTATTACATCTGCAGTCCAGTCTTAATATTGGAAATACAGAAAGGGGACTATTATAGTAGGATAACTGTCTCTAAGAATACAGTGCTTTTAAAAAGTTAACCCTCCTTGTAATTATGTTGTTGTTCTCAGTTTGACATTAAAGGGTATATTTCTATTGATGTGGAGTGTCAAAAAAGTGTCACTTCCAAGAGCAATGAAAATACTTTTTATAGGTACTGTATACTTATTGGCAATGAAGCTAGCAGCTTGTACTTTCCAACAAAACCACACTGGTCCAAATGAGTTTTGAAGACAGATAAAGCCACATATCAGTATAATTAGTATAGTACATATATTGAGAAAGAACTGCAGGTGGAAAATGAATGTATAGAGAATATTATTTGATGTAGGAAGAAAGATGAGAACATTTTACCTTGTCACCGCGACCCATCATGTTATTCTATACTCTACTCTATACTGATTTACCATTGCACTCCTGTTCCATTGTTGGACTCATGATGGACAGTTTCAAAATGAACGCAGCAGAACCAGGGATACTGTCTCATTATTCCACACATTCTTCTTCCTTGTCAAAACCTGGTGCCTATGTTACCCACAATGCAACTCACCCGCTACCAATTTGGGTGTGTTATGCTAGTAATGGCAAATGTAGGCTGGAGCCACAAGCCTCAAGCAGAGATAAGGAGCGGGCTAGAGAAGTCTGGTAAACTCACTTCTTTCTAACTTCAACAGATTTTATTCATTTTTAAACTTGTAGTCTCTAGGCCCAACAAACGCTGACTTAAGTGACATCATTTGAGGCAAGTTATCAGACTTTGTGCAGCTCCCTCTGGAGCCACAAAAGCCTCTCTGTAACTTTTCTAACACATGCAGTAGCACTCCCCAAGACCTGTAAATATACTTTGACGCGTAAAAAAGGTAGAGTTAAATAGATGTGAAATAATCTGAACCCATCCTTTAACCTTTAACCTTTGTAAGAATGTGTAGCCACCTTCATGAGGTTTCTGTAATAATCTGGAACAGCAAGTGCTGCATCAGGCTCAGCTCATTTTCCACCAACATTTTTTGTACTTTAACACAAAAATCACATGCAGCACTTCATGCTGAAGATGACCACTGACTACAGTATCAAGAAAATCCACATGTGGGCAAAAGCAGTAGGTTCCCTCCAATACTGCAGTGCCACATCAAGTCATTTTATTGTTGACATTTTGGTTTTGTCCACACCAGTACAGCTTGTCCTCGCCTCTCCTCCTCCTCCTCCACTGGCAGAGCAGGAGCATGCGGAAGGTCTTCTGAAAGGTCTTGTTGCAGAGGGCATAGCACATGGGGTTGATGGTGCTGTTGACGTAGCACAGCCAGTAGCCCAGGTGCCACAGGGACGTAGGGATGCACTTGGAACAGAAAGTGGAGATGAGCACCATGATGTTGTAGGGCGTCCATGTGAGGATGAAGGCCAGGAGGATGGCACTAAGAGTCTGAGCCGCCTTCTTCTCCTTCACCAGCACATTCCTCTTCCTCTTGGTGATCTGGTTCTTCAGGACGGGGTCCATGGGTTTGGAGGTGGTGGAGGAGGAAGGGGAGGCGTTTTTGGTGGGCTGCTCTGCTTCAGGCAGGCAGGGTGGTGCAGTCGCAGGATTGCCGTTTTTACCCTTTGAGCCAGGTTTGAACTTATAAGAGATGTGCTTTTTACTGTTCTTCTTTTGAGGACTGGAAAAATACTCAGTCACCTGCCCGTTCTTATTACTTTGTCCACTGCTTTGCTCTTTGAAAGATCCTTGTGGGGTATCTATTGAGACATGATGCTCCTCCTCTTCAGATGAGGTGTAGCTGTTAAAGGAGGTGATCTGATCTGCCTTCACCCATGCATCATCTGATCTAGTGGTAGTTTTAGTGGCATTACTTTGGTTTGATGAGGACCAGGAGGCCTGACTCCGGTCTCTCCTCTCTCTGGTGAAATGAAAGCAAGAATGAATGATAGTTTTCTGTGGTTTAGTCCCCTCTAGAACATTTTCTGTTGCGAGCCCTTGCAGCTCCGCCAGATCTTTGGTCCGTTTCTGTGTCTCCTTGTAGATCCTACTGTAAAGGATAGTCATGATAGAGACAGGGATGTAGAAAGCAGCAATCGCTGTCCCAAATGTGATCACAGGCTCTGTTAAAAACTGGATCTTGCACTGGTAAGGAAGCACTTTTCTCTCTCCTACAAAGTACTGCCAGCACAGAATGGGTGGTGCCCAGAGGACAAAAGACACCAACCATGCAAGGCCTATCATGATGGCAGCTCTCTTTGGAGTCCTTTTAGCCCTGTAAGTCAGCGGCCTCGTGATGGAGAAGTACCTGTCAAAGCTGATGACGAGTAAGTTCATAACTGAAGCATTGCTGGCTACATAATCCACTGCCAGCCAGAGATCACAGGCGAGGTTTCCCAAGGACCAGTAACCCATCAGGATGTATGTGGTGTACAAGTTCATGGACAACACTCCTATGATGAGGTCAGCGAAAGCCAAACTCAGTAGGTAGTAGTTGTTTACAGTCTTCAGCTGGCTGTTGACTTTGAAGGACAGCAACACCAGCACGTTGCCAACAATAGTTATCAAGCTGACAATGGCTGACACTGTACCAATGGCCAGGGCCTCCCAAAGGCTGTGGGGAGCAGCCTGGACATGTGATGCGTTGACAAAAGTGCTGTTTGGAGGATCTTCATCCATGGTGCTGTGTTATCTGTGTTACCGTTGACTGTTACCGTTTAGGTCAGAGAAAGGTACCCCTTTGTGGCCCCATTAAGAGTTTTCCTGAAATAAAAAGAAAAACATTAATGAGACACAATTGTACAAAATAATTATTTGTCAATGTTTTTTCTTATATGAAGATAATCCCCTGTAGATACTGTATATCCTGTTATTACCAAAACATGCTATCATATACAGTACTCTGTAGTAGTAGTATTAAGTTTATTTAAATACATACAAATACTTTACAGTTTTGCTATCGTGCAACAGATTAACCCACATTATTTCATATAGTTGAGCTTATTTGCATTGTCAGCTTGCAAAATAGTCTGTTAATATTGAAATGCAAACAAATCTACTGAATCCTTTGTGATTTTTACATATTATTTGCATATAAAGTCCTTAAAACTGTACTGAATTTGATATATTTTAATAAACCTCGAAACATTTATATTGACATATTATAATTCATGAGAGCTGAAAACAATAACATTGCTTTTTCACATTTTTATTTTTGTGTTTGTACATAAACGCTGCAGCTATTTTTTTTATTTATTAAAATGTTTTATTTTTAAATATATTTATTATCCTAATTGTATAGACCCACCATTGATCTGTTATGGTGTATTTTATTTATATGTAGCCTGTTATACTGCCGGCATTTTTATATTGTTCATATATGATATATTGTTTAAACTTTATTTTCCAATAAAATAATTTAAAACTTTTGACATTTAATTGTAAAATTGATTACTGTCTGTACTTCCGTCCACGATGTAAATTTTTTTGGTCGAAATCAGAGTCGGAACCATGAAACGCCATTTTGTCGAAGGACACCATTCAATGTAACACTCATTCCTCTCAACGCTGAGGTGTCACACGCTAAACTCTCCGGTCACAGTTGACAGCAATGGAGTTTAGACCGAGCAGAGCTAGAGGAGGCAGCTGGAAAAGAGGTGGACGGGGTGGAAACGACAGCGACAGTTTTGGCGGTGAACACCGGGGCAGAGGCAGAGGAGGCCACCACCGCGGCCGGGGTAAAAGAGACCACTACCGCGGGCGTGGACGCGGGGGAGGCGCCCCTGCCCCGTTCCATCACCGGGTGAGAGAGCATGGAAGTAGCGTTCCCTATGCTGCCCTGTTATCCCGCTCTACCAAACCCCATTGTAAAAAATACTAATTTTGTTGTTGAGTCACTGAGAAAACACACACAGTTCTTAGACGACGATGTCAAACTTAATAGGACCTCCTCTTCAACTCGGCGCAATTAACACCCCTTTCAATGTAATTGCCGGCAACAAAATACTCAGTGGAGGCTGGTTCTCTGGTACTGAGTGTTGTGGAAACTTTTACATAGGGATGTTTGGTTTAAATAATGTTACGCGTCGTCGATAACCCTGTATATACTGTCAACGAGATAACCTCAGTGCTAAGTGAAAGGCAATGTGATATGCTATGACACCATTACGTTCAATAACTTTGCCAATATGTAACGTTTTCTTCCACACAACCACGGCAAGTAGGATTTATACTCAATATAAACAGACACAGTACCACATACACTGGTGGACTGCTGTACATCAGACATGTGGATTTGTGTCTGCATGATCACATCCACACTTCCCTACTGTACATGCATAATGCATATAATGAGATCCTGCGAGAGAAGCGTTTTAGATGCATCATCGCAGTGATCAAGCACTTGAAATGTCTTCCACAGCGCTAATAACATTATCTTTGTATGATCTGGGCCTTGGGATGATGACAGAGAGTTCACTGGGATATTCTGACATTTGATGCTCCTGCCATGGTAACTACAGAATTAGAAGGGAAACAATAGGGGCTCTTGTGATTGCAATCATACAAATCTCCTTTGGTACATAGGGGCTCCTTGATTGCAATCATAAAAATCTCCTTTGGTGCATCCATAGCTACCATGGGGTCTTTGATGATTATATTGTGTGTTTGTGAGTTTTGATAAGGGACCAAAAAAAAATTGAGCAAAACCACACTTTGTCTTCTTACGTTGCACATTTCCATGACAACATTATAAAAGGTTTGTGCAGCTTTGTGACAAAACAGGAAGAAATCTATGACTCAGACAAATTTAATGAGTTCAGTTTTGACACAGACGTCTGTTCTTTGTCATACAGTGTGATGTGCCATTTACCTTGACTCTTTTATTAGACTTAGCTACCAATCATGAATAAGAGCTATGTGTTAATCACCACTTTACAAAATGCTCTTTGAATTATACTTTGCAGAGCACCGTCAGTGGAAGTGTTATTTTTGCCATGGAAACATGTTTAGTCGGTAAAAATGAAGCAAAGAAGTCTTGAATTACTTTTTCACATTATCCGCCAATTGTGTGAAAACCATCGTTGTCAGTTTAATTCAATTTTATTTGTATAGCACCGAATTATGACAGAGGTTATCTCAGGAAACTTCTCATATAGAGCAGGTCTAGACCGTACTCCTTCATAAAATTATAGATTTAGGGGGCTTTATCTGGGATATAATATTCATAGGTATGTTTTCATTAGTGCATAATCACCTGAAAATAAGAATCATTGTGTTTTTGTTGCCTTAGAATAATGGTCCTTTTCTACAGAGTGGACGAAGTTAACACTGACTCTAGATAGGGCATTTTGCAAGTTTCACCGCTTACATAGTTTCTCCTACACACGCTTGGAAGGATGAGCTAGATGCCAATAATAATAATAATAATAATAATAATAATAATAATAATGTTAATAATAGTGTTCATCTCTTAATTCGATTGCAGGCAAAGGCTTCTTGTCTGTCCTGTCCCTGTGTCCCACCCCAACCTCTTGTTTTTGAATAGGAAATAGAAAATAGTTGATCAAACCCGATTCTGATTTATGGATGCATTTTCAAAATGCAGCTTCTTTTTTATAAAGTTTAGTATATAATATTCAGTTACATTACGTAGTGCTTGACTTACTGAAGCTCCATATAGGCTGCATTAACTTGGTGGAGTTCTCAGGCCTCAGTATGCAACAAAAGGAAGAACTTGTCAGACTGCCTAACAGTGCCTGTAGGGTTTAAACTTCTACTGCTACTACTACGTCTGTCACTTTTAATGTGTACACCAGAAATGCCTTTGAGGACGCGGTGTGCACCATAATCCCCATTTACGAGTGATTTTAGTCTCTGTTTTCTCTTATGATGGCAGGCTATCCTAAATCACACATTCCTGATCGTGTATCCCACCATGTTCTCCTGTAGGATCAAGATGAAGGAGACAACCTTCAGGAGGAAGATGACAGGATGGAGGTTTTCTCCAGGAGGAAACTGGAGTCAAACTGGGACCGTTATAAGGATTCAGAGAGGCAGGAGCCTGAAGACGACATGCCCACTCAGAGAGGAGCAGACTACCACGTCCTGCTGGAGTCAGCAGGTAAGGTCGTGCCACAAAAAGCTTGAGGAGGTTTCATTTGTTTTGCTAACCACACCTGTAATGCTCAGTCAGCTCTCAGCAGGAGAGACCGGCCAGGCATCTGGAAATATTCCTGTACGGTTTACCTTTTTTACCTTAGATTTATATTGATAAAGGAATTTTAATGAGAATTGTGTAAGTCAAGTAACAATGTGACAACATCCTGGTAGGACATTGACAAATAAATCAGTAGGGGATTGAATTTTTGGTCTTCTTCAGTCATTTTCTGGGTTAGTGGCACAGTTAGCACAACAAAGAAAACAAAGCCAATTTACTCCAACAGCTTGCTTCAGTTTACAAAAATAAGTTTGCTCAGTTTTACCATTAATGATCAAACCATCACTTAATTAAAGGACTTTAAATTTGTGCATTAGCCTTTCTGAGACAATGACATGGAAATTCACTTTGTGTCAAATACTCCACTGAGTCTAATTGTACTTTTCTGAAGCTGTCCTAATTAGTTGGGAAATATCTGTTATCTTAATATTTAATTGCTCTGTATGGACACTGCTGTCAGATGAAAGCATAGAAGATCCTTGTTTGTCTTTGTTCACAAATTTCAGCCTCAGTGGTCAGTGTTTGGTCCCCTGGGCTTTAAACAGTCTCATCCCTGTTTCTGTTGATATTTCTTTCCCCAAAGGAACAAGTGTAAGAAAGCTCAGTTTTGTCTTATTAGAGCTTGAGATTTCTTCACTATTCTGAGCAACAACTCCAACGTGGGAAATTGTGATATTTAACTGAAATTGGGTTAAATAGAGCATAGGGTCAACACCCTAAATCTGTTGAATGTTTTGTCAAAATCTTATTTTTAAAGACGAAAGACATGGAAGCACGCTAGGTTTCCTTTTTTTTATAGCCGGAGTAAGTGATGTGTGGTAAATTTTGGCAAATTGGCAATAAAAGTATCCCGAATTAGCTATTAGAACTTCTTATCTCAAATGTGTCAAATGGGATGATTCTCAGGCAAGTTCTGCAGTTTTAAGGAGCGTCTTTTTTCTATGACTTCTGGATTTATGGCCATTTATTCACCATCGACATCAGAGATAATGATATCGTTGGAAAGAATAAGTCACCCTAAATCTAAAAGTATGTGTATCATGTCTTGTGTGTTCTGAGTTATGACTCCAAGAAGGAGTATTAGGCGTTTTTAAAGTACCTTAACTGCCTCCATGAGCTGTGTGTCACAGTCACTGCTGTAGCTCCAACTGCTGTCAATAAGCCGGCCAAACTACAATAACTAACTTTCCATTTGTTTCCAGAACAACAGCATGAACTTGTCCCTTTTACCTCACTCAGTATCTTTGCCTCATGTCTCTCCCTCCAGTTTGTTGATTTGTAATCAACAAACAGTACATCACGCTACACTGGGTGTGGAAGAAGCATGTTGTCATCATTAGCTGGCAGTGCAAGTGGTATTATTAGACTGGGTGTAGTTACTCTTTGATAATAGCTGCTATGGACTTAAGCAGATATATAAGATATAAGCAGTAATAGAAACCATCTAAAAAGGTTAAACTGCAGTGAGCAGCTTCTCTTGTCTGATTTTAGCAACATTCACAGTTTCAGGTTTTGGGTAATGTGAAATATGAAACTTTTTTTCCTGGACTGATGGCAGTGAGTGCAGTATTCCTGACCTGGAACTTCCCTCTACTCCTGGACTTTATTTATTTGCATTCATTTTCATGGACTTTATTTCTGTCAAATCTATTTCCAAGCAAGACACACACCCCTGGTAGTTTGCCAGTTATAAGTCTTTAGTCTGTGTGTTACTGTCTAGCTGGATTTTTGCTTTGTTAGTCAACTCCATCAGATGTGCTGAATAATAGAACTGTGATTGGTCAGTTTAGGCTGCTTACTGTATGTTTTCTCCTGCATCTCTCTGATGCCTTTAAATAGGGAAAAAAACAGGCAATTTGAAGATGTCACCATGGGCTCTAGGAAACGTGGTGAAAGTAATTTTTCACTTTTAGCTGTCATTTTATACTCTAAACAGTTAATTGATTAATGGATTCATTAAGTGTCTGATGATCTTATCACAAAATTAATTAAGATATAAGTAGTATTAACTTTAACAGAAGGTTCACTGTATTTGTGATCTGGCTGAATTTCCAGTGCAAACCTCCACCTATATACTCATTACTGATTAATGTGCACATTGTTGTCTTGATAAAAAGTTAATCGTTGTAAATGTTATCACAGTCCAAGGTGACGTCATCAAATGTCAAAAATCCCAAAATGTTAACTTTACAGTGTTGTACAAGAAAGAAAAGCAGGAAATCTTTATATTTTAGAGGCTGAAAAAAGCATTTTTATTTGATAAGATAATTTTTTGTAAGGAATGCTGTGTACGGCCTGGTAATGTAGTGTGCAGGTCACAAATCTTCTGTCCCTTTCTCCCCGTCTCCTCTCAGCATGACTGAGTGGATTTCATAACATACTGCTGCGGACAGTATTAGCACGAGTTGTGGTTTAAAAAATGTTTGGTTTCATATTATCTAATGTTGGATCATTTCAATTTTATAAATCAACAGGATGTGATATGGGTATTAAGATGCCATTATTCAAAATAGGGGTACATCAACACATTTGCCTTGTATTAATTAACCAAAGTCAACCGGTGATTTTGTGTTTTACTAATGTGATTTAGTTTCCTTTTTTAACTACAATGGCATATAAATGAACTGGAAAGTATGTAAATTAATTCCTTTAAAATGTGGGTTGAAGATGAGAGTATCTTTATATCAACAACAGGTCAAATGACTGTGTAATGACATACACAGAATTATGAGCCGACTCTGCAGTCCCACTCGTATCTGTGGAGCATTTTAGTGTTTTTCAGCTCTTTGTGTTGGTTGGCACACAGCTTCACTGTTTTGTTTCAGCCTCACAGTTTTCATCAGCATTATTTTCAGCCACAACAGGCAGCCGTGAAAAAACAACCCACTGTGTGCTACTCATCCAACACCAAACAACAACCAAAGTTAGCAACTATCTGGTGGACATAGTGGAGCATTTAGCACCTTCACAGCCAGATATTTACTTCAGGAGCTGGAAAGTTGAAGTGAATACTGGACATTACATTCGTCAGGTTGCCATAAACACAACTGAATGCTAATGTTGCTTTGTGTCGGCTGGACGTGTAAATAGGTAACTGTTTGCCATACCAGCTTTATAGGGTTATAATATATCTCTGTTGTGTTTGCAGCTTGTTACGCTGCCTCCAAATGGCAATGCATTGTTGAGGCTTGGGGTTATGGAAACATAATCAAATTCTGTGAGGAACTGCTATATAACAATAACTTTCTGGCATTCAAATGAAGACAAAAAATAAACTTTTATAATCAGATGCAGTTACATGTGTGGCAGAAACCTCCTTTCTACTACAACAGAAACCAATCAAACAGGAGATAAAGTTCATAGTGAAGCATTAGAGAAAAAGCTCAGGTTTATGAGGCCAACGTATGATAAACCAAACGCTGCAAGCTTGGAGATTATGCAAGCAACGAGCTGAAAATTCATGAAATAAAAGCCCCTGAAACGAACAAAATAACACGATGGCATTTAAAACGTGTTTGAAACATATTCTTGTACACTCAGCCGGACAAGGCGGACATACAATAGAACAGTTTTTGAACTAATTAGATCTTCCCTCTAGTGGATGAACTCACAAAAGAGAGGAGAATCTATTGAGGAAATTGAGCAAGCAATCTCCAGTCTGAAAGCAGGCATATCACTGGGTGCCAATGGGTTCCCGTCCGAGTGGTACAACTCAATGAGAGAGCGAGTAACACCTTTCTCCGCGAGTGCTTCAAACACATTCTAAGTCCAATCAGTGTGGCCAAACGTTTCGCAATCACAATAAAATATCATATGCATCCATATTGGGTAAGAGGATGGAGGAGGTGACATAAGGCACTAAAATGTATTGTTAGTGATATAATCAGATCAAATTTTACACTATTGCCCACCCCTATTGCCCACCCCTGTAAACAGCGTGTGCTGTATGGAACATAGAACATTCAGTTTGATTTCCTGTGTATATCATCGAATGTAACTGGGTGACCTCATGTTTGTTATGATATACAACAAAAAATAAAGTATATAAAAAAAGAATTGGCCATATTTGGACCAAAACTCTGAATTGTTGAATTCAAAATGCTGTTAAATACAGACTGTATATCATTCAGCATAAAGTCTGATCAGATTTCTTTGATCAGCAAAGTTTATCCAGGAGTTGATGCTGACAATTTGTAAAGGACTCTGACTTGCTTGTGTTTTTAGGAGAAAGTTATGAGGCCATTTTTATGTCAGGATGAGTGTTTAAGCAGCTAACTGTTTTTATAGCCTTGTTTTTTTTTTTTTTTCTCACGCCATTAGAGAGTTAGAGAGTGTTGCAGCGGTGTGTCTCTCTCCCCTTCTCTTGTAGCGTAAATGCCAAAGGTTCTCCTGTGAGTTGTTTGACTCTCTCTGTGTTTTGCCCACATTGTCAGATTAGTCATGCCGTACAGCAAGAGGCTGCCGCTCTCTAGAGGATACTTAATTGTACGTGGGAGGCAGCGCTTTCAAGAGTCGTTTTTCTGGCCAATTAAGGTAGCCGTGAAATCAGGAATTTGCCAAAGAAACCTCCCTTTTCCTCTTGGCCAAAGTTATTATAGAATACTTTTTAATGCGTATCTAAGGTGAAGTGTTATTCTGTTTGTTTTGTTTGATTGGGCAGGATGTACAGGTCAGAAGTACGTAGATGTGATGTATTTCAGGATAGAAATGGCCTAGAGCAGCAATTCTTACGAGATTCCCAGAGCAGAGAGTTCGAGAGCAGAGCTATACCTACCGTGTGTTGAAAGCGTATGACATGAGTGAGACTATGGGCTGATTTTACTCAAAAAGATAAAATGTGTTTTCCTATGGCACAAAGCAGTATGTCATTATCTAACTACAAGGATTCTGCTTGTCATAAGGAAACACTTTTATCTCACAATGTTGCCATCCTCTGTTGTCAGAGCAGAGCACATATGAACAACCTAAAACAAGGCTGTATAAATATATATCTGAGTGGGTGGGGATTGTTTTGTTTCTGACATTAAAGGGCAGGAAGCATTGAAGTTTTGTTAAAGTGAGACAGTGTAACTTTTGAGAGAAGGTCTATACAGCTGAAACAAGTGGATTAGTTGATTAGTTGATCGACAGAGACTCAATCTGCTGTCTCGTTCCAGCTTCTGAAATCTATAAAATTGCTGCCTTTCTTTGTTTTCCGTGATAGTGAACTTAACATCTTTGGATTTTGGACTCTCACTTGGTCAGTCAGATCAAACATGAAAGTCAAATATGTAAAGTTGCACAAATTGTAAAGCTCATTTTCTCACTATTGTACACACATTGTATAGACTAAAACTAATAATAATAAAAAATACAACAACCTTACTAAGTTTAATATTTATTTTTGGTTCTCGTACTTTGTCAGCTATGACCTGTCGCTTTTGTTAGTTACATTGTACAAGATATTGCAGCCTAACTGACATTACAGTGTCAGTGTGTTGACTTTATGACCTCTCTTACACTACAAATAAGCATTTAACATTATCATATTATCACTTGTGGCCACATAGGCTCACTTTAATAATTATGGTAAAATATATTACTACACTGATTCCGCAGTAGATTCCTACATATAAATGAGAGCGGTGTGGAAAGCACTTATGGCTTTATAGTGTAGTATCAGCTGGGTTAAATTTGGCACAAAATGTGTTTCTTTACAGCATGAAAGGAAAATTGCTGGTATTGTTGTTCTAGCACAAATTAAGCAGAAACTTTCAAAATCTTTTGCTGTGGCGGAGAATCTCTTCCAGCTCGCAGTGAGTAGAAATACATCTGTCAACACCTTTAACACTTACGTGATTCGACACCTCTGAAATGTGAAAACAAAGTGCAAAATTGGAGTGGAGATTGCTGGTCTACTGTGACAGAGACATCGTCAAGTTCCCTTTTGACTGGCACGAGCTACTGTTGCATCACAACTCCAGTGCCAGGCGCAACAGATGGAGAGAGGCAGTGATTTTCTGGCTCAACAGAAGGCCAGGAATAACTATAAATAAAGCTGTTCTTCATCTAAAATCATGATTTCAATGTTCAACACTTTCATTTAAAAATTGGGATTCTTATATGAAATGTTAAAATATGAGGCAACACCTATATACTGTATGAGTCTGAACAACATTTAAAATGTTTACAAGAGGTCTTTTAAAGTGCATCTACTGTACAGCTGGGCGAACTTCATCTGGTAATAAAAATAAATAAGTTAGTAATATATTTATTAAACAGTTTTAAAACTCGTAAAGAGTCACCAATAGCAATAAAAAATATGGATATAGGAGGGTTCTGCATAACAATTACTTTTACTTCTGTTATATTTTTATTCTAATACTTATGTAATTTTACTCGCATACAATTTTGAACGCAGGACTTGTAACAGAGTATTTCGACACTGTAATATTGCTAGTTTTACTTAAGTAAAAGTTGTGAGTACTTCTCCACCACTGGCACTATAATATCAAATATACTATAACTGTGGCCCATACATCCCGCTCCTCTTTCTTACAGCCTAAAGATGTTCTAGTGCAGAACCTGTCACTGTTGTTTATATAATCTCCATTTATATAACCTAAGTTTGTTTATATTTCAATTTGACTATATCTTCTGTTTAATGTATCTATATGAATTTGCTGCTGGGAGTGACTCAGTTTTCCCACAAAGAGCAGCAAGAAGTTTCACCTCATCTCTGCCTGTATTAATTAATTAATTAATTCACAAAGATACAAATTAATATACAATTGGCGACTGGGAAATTTAAGCACAAGATCTTTTAAAGACGTCTATAAAGACGAATTTGCCTCGCTCGTCTATTTTAAGAAATATAATTGAGTTGTTGGGACATACAGTGGTTGAGTTTCTATTTGCAGAAGCTACATTGAATGTTCTACTGTACTCAGTGTGATTAGGAAAAATGGAGCCTGACAGGGAAATTATGTAAACAGACTGTTTGATTTGAATTGAAGGTCATGTTGATTTCTGTTGTTTTGTGGCCTCCTGGATGGCTATTATGTTGCCCCACGGTTTGTCCAAACATCCCAAGTGCTTTTAGCATTCATGTGTTTTGATTGACTCTGATTACATCTTCTATTGCTTTCAATACTAAGAATTAAACATGTTAGGAGGCGAGGATGCAGTAGATATTTTTTCATAAATGTGGAATCCGGACTGAAGTTACTTTTCAAGGATGACATTTTAGCGCTTTTGTGCAGAAAGATTTTTCTATTGCCTTGAGAATTTCAGTAGTCATAAAGCAGAGAGAAATTTAGTGAATGGCGACTTTATTGTTTAAATAAAACACAACAAGGTGCTGTGAAGCCTTAAGAAATGAATTGTCGACTGTTTGGCAACCAGAATGTTATTTTAGTTTGTCAGGTCTCAGTCCTTGCATTGTTGGGGGTTGATTGTGCTGTTGCTATGGGTAATGCACACATGGTGCAGTTCTCTTGGTGTGTGTGTGTGTGTGTGTGTGTGTGTGTGTGTGTGTGTGTGTGTGCATGTGCCTGTATGACTTGGGGGAATTGCTGGGCAGTTATTTACATCCTAACACGGTCATCTATCTGTACACATTAACACAAGGATCAATCCTCCTCCCCCGCAGCCGTAGTTTACCAAGGCAGCTAATGGGCACCTATCAAGGCTCAATCATAATGAGACAAAAGGAAATCGCATTAGAGCTTCAGTAATTCAGCTAACTAGATTGACAAACACAAGGACGTTTTCCTAACTGAGATGAATAGTCCCAATCATGCCATTAATTTATATGTTCCGGTGTCGTTATGGATACTTGATTAGCCATCTATACCGGAGGAGACTGGCGTCAAAGCAGAGGAATGAGGCTGGTCATGTACTGTCTGGTTGGCAAAAATAGGAAACGAAGCATTACAGGTGCTTGGTTTGGTTTCCCTGCAATTGCTTATTATGATTAAGCCAGTGGGGGATGGTGTGAGGCCGAGTAAAGCAGCAGGTGTATCATAGACACTTTACTGAGATCATCCCACAGAGCAGTCTACCCACTTTCATCCTTAAATACCTGTGCCATTGTTCGAGTGTCAATATGGTAACTTTTCAGGGTTCATTTTAGGACTGCAGTTATTTTTATTATCAGTTAAACTGCAGTATTACTTCTCAATTGACTGGTAAATGGTTTAAGTCTATAAAAATGTCAGGAAACAGTAAAAGGTGCCATAGGTTACGTCTTCAGATTGCTTGTTTTGACTGACCAACAATCCAAAACCCCAAAATACTCCATTTATAATCATAAAAAAAACAAACAACAAACATCGGTTGTTTTTACAGTTACCTGAATACCAAATCTCCATTATTGATTATTCTGCCATTTATTTTCATGATTAAACAATTATTTGGTGTAAATTATTTTAGAAATTAGTCAAAGATGCCCTTCATAATTTCCCAGAGCTGAAGTTGATGTCTTTTAAATGTATTGTTTTGTCCAATTTATCATCCAAATCTAATGATATCCAGTTAACTACAGAGCTGCAACAATTATTGGAGTATTCAGGCGAAAGAAAATTAATCAGTAACTATTTGATAATAGATTAAGTAATCTTTCACGCAAAAATTTCGAACATTTGCTGTGACATTTTAGTAAACTGTCACTCACAGACACACACACATCTATATTTGGGTTTTGACATTTGTCGAACAAGATAAGACATTTGATGATGTCACCACTATCTGGGTTAGTGATGGACATTGTTCGCTGTTTTCTGACTTTTTATAGATCAATCAATTAATTAGCAAAATAATCTGCAAATTAATTGATAATAAAAATAACCTGAAATTGCAACGACAACGAGCTAATTTGTGGCGTTTAAATGAAAATGTATGTATAATTATGGAAATAGCTGTTTTTTGACAATCAACTAAATGCTTCTAGCTCAATTTTAAAACTAATTTGGACAAAGCTCATCGTGTTTGTGCCTCCAAGAATACAGTGTTGGGATGCCAGTCATGTGACTTATCATCCCCATGGTTTTTAATGATACCTTTAATCAAATCATTGCACTCCTTGTACCTCCCACTTTTTCCTGAGTAAAAAATCTCCACACACACCACACACACACACACACACACACACACACACACACACACACAGAGCATCGTTACGCACTCATACTTAAACTTATTGAAGCATTTTTAAGCTTCAGGATCAATTTAATAACCTTTTTGTGGGTGTCAAAAGCTACTCTTTTAAAACCACATTGTACAAAATGTTCTGCGGAGCTCCGAGTCTCAACTATAAAAGCACTGCTGACAACTGATGAACCCCAGCACTTGTTCCATGATTCATTCAATATAGTAACTCAAGCTACATTTACTGTTCAGTAATAAAAATGTATGATATTAGAATTTGTAATATGATTTTACTGAACAGTGAGTAGGGTCAGTTGACAGCTGCTCCTGTGAACTGTTTAATTTCCTGCCATAACAGACACATCAAACAGAATACATACTCACCCTGTGTGGCTCTGACAAAACACAATCCTCCAACGTTAAATGGGCGTTCGGCAGGTCTTTGATACGCTGTTTTTCCTTTACACCTTCTTCAGTCTGGCAGAGTTCTGTCAGTTTCTCCTCCCTGTGTCTTTCTCAGCTCTGTACGTCTTCTCTCTGTTTCACTCTCACAGCTTTTGCTTCACACCTTCCCTTGCTGGCTCACTCTTCCCCTCCCCGTTCCCTCTTACTGACTTTTTTTTTCCCTCTGTGTCTGCTCCTCTCTCCAACGAGGTGAAAAACACACTTGTCAAATACAGGTAGGTCATCACACCGTCTCTCATCCTCATCAGTTGCTAAGTACGAGGCGCTTTGATGCAAACAAGTTTTTCAGCATCGTTGTGTTTTACTGTATAGCTCCTGAACGCTCCGGTCTCTTTCTGAGATGGTAAATGCAACAGCTGTTCAGTGTCAATGTCCATGTGACAGAGCAGCTTAGGTGCCTCGTTGGTCCTTTTCAGACCCTTTTCACAGAAGGGTGAATTACTGGAAACGGCTCCTGGTCCTCAGCAGTGATAATCAAGCAAAGATCTTTTTCACCGAAGATCAACTCTTGAGCTCAACATCCCCTGAGGAATCGTTGGAAGCAGCAAAAGTCACGGTTTTTCCACTCTTTTTGCAAAGTTTGAGCGACTCCACCGGCGAAGAAAGCGGAGTAAAGCTTCTTCGATCCTCCAGGCTGCACAGATTTAAAGGCTTTTTATCTCCTACCAGACTTGTGTTTGCTGCCTCTTATAAAGCTGCTTGAATGCACGCTGCACTAAACGTCCCCACCAACACGCAGATTCAGCTGTGAGCCACTATTAGGAGAAATTCCCACATGGCTGGAAGGCTCATCCTGTATCGGAGCACTGAGCAACATGTAAGAGGAGGGAAGAAGAGGTGAGGAGGTGGAGGAGTAGGATGAAGCAGAGGGGGGAGGAGCCGGAGGAGGAGTCGATGCGGGTGTCATCAGCAGTTGGAAAGGACCGGTTGTTTGCCTTTGCATCTTCAATGCTTACAGCTGTATGTCTTCATCAGAGAGGAAATGCATTCACACAACTGCCGGCTCCTCAAACAGCCTCACGTGTCCCACTTCATGGTGACTTAGTTAATCCCCCAATGTGTTTGATCATGCACCTTCTTTAGAGCGGGGTGAGCGACTGTAGAAGCAGACGGTAGTGGTTGGTGGAGTTGTTAAACTGCTTTCAGTTTCCCAGTAAATCTCAACTGCCTCTACTGGCCTTATCGTTAGTTATTTTCAGTGTGTGCTTTTCGTGTGTCCTTCCCTGTTCAGATAAGCTTCTTTCTGTAGATTTAACTATAGAGGGAGAACACATAAATCAGATTTTCATAAGTTGAGAAATACATTTTCTCATTGCATGAAATGTAAATTATGTTAGTGGAAAGCAGACAGGAAAGGTATTGCATTGAGGGGATGTCTGAAAGGATATCTGCTGTGTTATATGACCATAGACATGGACGTAGTCTCTGTGATGTTACCCATAGGTTTCTGAAGAGCTGTGGAAAAGCTTAGTGTGGTCGGCTCTGGCTGTCGCCTTCTTGGCAGTTCTGACTCTGCCGGCTGATCCAAAAATGGCCAAAGACGTGGAACGTGGGTGTAGCTGAGGCAGGCTGAATAAAGCCTGGTTACTGAAAACAGCTGCCTTTTAGGGCACCCACCTGTCACTGAAAGCGGCCATAGCCTTAATTATGCATAATAATTAACATATTCAGTAGTTAACACTTTTTAAAGATTTATTTACTCGAAAATGATACCAAAATTATATATTTCACATCTGTTGCGACTATCAAAATAGTTCAAATTATAAATGGATATAAATAACACTATAACACTAATAACACTAACACACATCAGTTCCAGAACTATACATATCATTATGAGGATGAGGAGAAACATGAAAACATCAGAAGCAAGAGATTGATCTATTTTTGACAAGAGGCTAGTTAAAGATAATAGCACTTTAATGGCCCCAGACAATTATCAACATGCGCACTGAAGACGAGGCAGCATTATAAGGCCCAACAGTTTAAATAAAACAATTTTCTGCTTGTTAGATTCACGAGCAGCTCTTCACATCTGTAGGCAGACAGCTCGGTGACTGCTGTGAGACTACCACATTGTCACGTGTATAATATCTCAGCAGCATTCACCACCACACTTAATATACGTTACGTAATACCTAATACACGAAATGACATGAAGCCTCGTACAGGTGAGCAGAAATGATGGTGGTTTTGGAATACATATTAGCTTAAGTTTATTTAATATTTAGAGCAATATTTAGGTTTCTCAGCATTCTCCACCATCTGCCTTCTAATTGATAAGTTGGCATGTGAATTTGAGTATATCTTTTTAGAGTATTGTCAGCATCATGGAGGATCCAAATCAAGGATATAGAAATAATATCTCTCAAAAATAATTAAAACTAAACCCATACATTTTCTCACTGCACAACATTGAAAAATGCCCCAGCTAGTAAAGCATGATGCTACAGGGCTTACGCCATTGATTTTAGTGAATTAAAATACAAACAGGAAAGTAAAATGTATTGCTTCCAGTGCATTAGTTGTGAAGGTAAATGTGCTGCTCTGTGTTTGTTCCATATGCCACCACACTGATTCCATGAATTAATGCTGCTAATTTAATTAAATCACATAACAAAACAGTCTTTGTATTTTGTTTAGGAAAATAAATTAAGCAAATATCAATATTTTAATCTCCTCAAACACTAAAATAGAAAATTAGCTCTTTGAATTTAAAGGACCAGTGTGTAAGATTTAGTGGCATCTGGTGATGACTGCATACAGCTCAGCCTTTTAAGTGTGTTGGAGAAACTATGGTGGCCACGAAACTTGCGAAATACGTGAAAGGCCCTGTCTAGAGTCAGTGTTTGGTTTGGCCATTCTAGGCTACTGTAGAAACATGGTAGTTCAACATGGCTGAATCCAAAAATATTAAATATATATAATATAATATAAATATTATAATGAATGAATTGTATATAAATATTATATTTAGTTTCTGCCAATAGTTCCTCCTAAATGTTACACACTGTACCTGCTTTAATGCACTTTTACCTACAAAATGATGTCATTTTGTCCATTGTAAAACGTTCTGCATGAATAAAATCTGTCTTTTCGCCACAACAAAGGTATTGGCTTTGTTGACGCCGCATTATTCAGTTAATGGAGGATTTAGCGGCCATACCTAATCATCTTCCCACCCCATCAGCCTACAGTAGGAGCCATTGAAGCACCACCATCTTTCTGGCTCCTTCAAAAAATTCACACCTTGCCTGAGCGTCATGAAAGGATGACTGCTGTTTCATCCTCACTCAGTGTGATTGAACTGGTTGAGTAGACCAGCTCCTGTGCTTTTCTTTAAAACCGTTTCTCTTTTATGTGAATATATCATGCATGTTCCCGTGGCCGCAGGCTAGCTATTGATTATCAGTAGAATGCAATACAAAGGATATGAGGCATGTCTAATGTATCCCTCAGGGAGTTCATGTAATGAGGCACACAGATATACGGTGATTGCTCAATTTCCGTAGACTGGGCACATCCACCTACACAGTTGACCCCTGTGACACCAGCACTGTGTTAGGCTGCTGTTAACCACCACTGTTATTCTGAACGGAGGTTAAGGTAGTCTTAGGCGATTGATGGGAGAAGAATACAGTAGCCGTTAATTATGGCCTGTATTTATTAATGCATTAAAAAAGTCTGGAAGACTGATTTTGCAGTTGAAATGTAATTTGCCTTTTATTTATTGTTTTAGTTTAGTTGTGATTTTCAAAAGCGAGAAAGGAAGGAAGAAGGAGTGATAGAAGCTTTCTTTCTCATTTTTTTTAGCATCAGATACAGGAGGAGCAATCTGGCCTCCACCTGGTTGTGGAACAGCCACTGACAAACACTGCACTATATTGGATTTGGCCATTACAAAATAGCTGACCATCCCCCCCCCCAAACCCTGTAACCTAATGTATGATTGGAATCAAAGTTACTCTTATCTGTACATAACATTTAAAGCTGTCTAAATATTGATATTGAGGGTTGACTATCGTTTTTTATTGACACGATACATAATTGTGTCAGAGCTACATTGTCAAATAACCTTTAATTCTCAAAAGCTGAGCCAATTATTTAAAAAGAGTGCGGTTTAGAGAGAAATGAGTCATTTAATGGTGTGATTCTCTACCTCAATTAAAGATAATTGCTCTGTGTGCTTCACACCTCCCACACTGTTGCTTGCCTTGTGGTAAATAACAATAGCAGTGTTGATAATAATGGCATATGAAGCTTTCCACCAGGTGCATAGCTTCCAAAAGCCTCTGGTTGTCATCCTCCTCCTGCCTGAACATTTTTGCATTTTATATCAACTCAGACTGCTCATTAGCTGGGACCAACCAAAAGCAACATTTGTCACTAGTCAGTGGTCTTTATTTAAACAAACACCAAACCACCCAATTCTCTGTCAACAGCCATTGCTGTTATTAGCAAACCAAGATGACCTTTGCTTCAAGTTGCATTTAGAGTTGCAGCGGTATACCGATACCATAATGTACTGTGGTATAGAACTTGATAGTTAGATTATCATGTAAATGTGCTTATCTAGGATATTGAATTCTACTTTTATTTCATATTAATGTTAAAAAAATAGGATGTAATATTTTGGGTTGGTTCAACCAAAAAAACCTTCTGTTCTCATTCCTTTAAGGATCATTGCAGCCGATGATAATAATAATATTGACTGTGTAATACCACATGCCTTTATACCATGAAACCGAGATATTTTCTGAGATGGTTTTTGTTGTAAGGGATCAATAGAATTTGATAGACAGATTGGCTTTCTTCCTCATTACTCACGTTTCGTGTATTCTCGCTCGTCCAAAGAGGCTGTCTTTGAATGTGACCTCCGTCTGCAATTTGGGGGGAACCAAGATGAACGAGAATCATTAAAAGCTCCACTGAAACTCAAGCACACTTAACTGTGGGCAATTTGTGCCTGACAGCACCTCGCCGAGACATTCTCAAGGAAAAGGATCCTC